TTGATTGGCCTGCTTTGTCTGTGCCCCATAGATCTGGCCTGCGTTGTCTGTGCCAGAATATCTGCATACCAAGCCTTGCGACTACATACTCACGCTTGGACATTGCGTGCACTGCCAAAATTGCCTCTGTCACTAGATGGGGTGCTGCACCGATGCTGCTGCCGGTGACACTTGTCGTCTCGTTATACCCCGAGAGGTCGTCTTGCCTAGGACCGCTCCACGGTCAACCCTTCATTCTGGGGAATGCACACAGGCGATGCCTACTAGGGCAGCGACCACCTTCCTAAGAAGGCGGGAGACTTGAAGGAGTCAGACCCCCCTGAGGAGGGCTGGCAAGCGCGCATAAGCGCTACTGGAAGCGCTTAAACCAGACGCCCGGAGGATAGGCTCCGGAGAAGCGTCTAACCCCGATGCAATCGGGCTGGACGGCACTGCCTATACGGCGCGAGGAAGGCAGTGTCCTTCGGACGTGGCAGTGACCACCTTTTTAATAAAGACAGACGACTTGAATGAGTCAGACTCTCCTAGAGGAGAGCAGTCAAGTGCGCATAAACCAGGCACCCAGACAGATTAGACCCCGGAGAAGCGTCTAACCCAGATACAATCGGCCTCGGCGGCCAGACTACACTGCCTAGGTTCAGCTAAGGCGCCATTCAGCTAAGGCGCCCCCACCATGGCCACCTTAGCTGAATGGCGGGCGGACCGGTCCCTCTCGGAAGGAGAGGATGATGGGGGTGGACTATGATGATGCCCTCAAAGTGGCACCATGGGACAGAGAACAAGCCCACTACAGGGGCTCTGATGACTATGGAAGAAGAGGTCGTCTCGTGGGTCGCCTTAAATGAACCCCTGTGTGACCCTCGACCAATTGCTCATTTTTTCAGAAGGGTCTCGGGCCGGGCACCTAGCACCATCGGTGCGTTGCTGGGACAGTAGATTGCTGACTTGAGAAGCCCACAAGATACTTGGAGTGGTATACCCAGCAGGGATCCCGAACAAAGTAGCTTCATACTCAGACCCAATGGGGTGCTTCGGCTCTCCTGGTGGCAATGCCTGTCTAGTATACAGGAGATCCGGAGTACGGCCAGCTGCAGTGCCTGTACTCTACTTTTCAGTCCACACTGACATGCCAAGGGTTCTTCCCCACATGAGTGGGTTGTCCTACGGGACATACAGGGAAGAATACTGGGTCCCAGTTTTTCCACAAGGACGTTTCGCGGGACGGTCTACCCGGACGGGCTGGCTGGATCCTCGGCGAGTTGCCCCCCAGACCGAAGGGACAGACGCTATCTGTGTTTTCCTTGTTTGGGTCCCTGGAGTTAGTGTTCAAACAAGGAATATTGACCCCCTCTGTGGCTCGAGGTGTAGAGTCCTGGAGGACGGATCGGACGTTGTCCTCCTATCAGAGTTTCTCATACGATTGGAATAGTTTTCCGGGAAGACCCGGCATCAAGACCTTAGCCTGTGGAGAAGGACCCATTAAGCCCCGTCCAGTTTCAGCCGGCATATAGACCGATTTGCTCAGTGATGGACGTTTCCATCCAGGGGTGTTCGACATGGAGACGCTGAGAAGGCCACATGATTGTTGTTTCCAGGACCTTACTACAAGGGTCTCAGTCTGCTGGTACCTTGGTTTTATGACCTCCGCTTCGGCCGAGTCGAGACTAGTGCCCGGATTCCCTGGAGCTGTCACACTTGATCTCGGGGACCGTAAGACGTTTGCCTGTATGGCAACCCTGATGGAGTTGGGTCTGGTACGGATTAACAGAAATCTTGCAAACTCTTTTCGATTATTGTTTGGTCGTTTTATTGACCGGGGACTGTCTTATAACTTAGATTAGGTAGGGTGTACGACTATTTTCGGCGGGCCTTGCTCTGTTGGTATCTCCCTTCGAGCTAGACGTGCGGGTTCATAGGGGTGTGAGTCCACTTGATTCCCGAGGACGGGTATTTATTTCCCCAAGGGGTACACGCGTGGTTTGTCATGCCTCAATCGACAGTTTTTGACGGTTTTTGTCCATCTCCGACTCTGGATTTGTTCCCCTTATCATACCCTTTTTTTTTTTCTTTCAGATGGGTTCGGATGTTTGGACCTTACTTGTCTATCGGCTCTAGTCGGACCCGAGGGTTATACTCTTGTCTTGGTTGCGTGCCCCTCTTTTTTATGTTGCCGTTGACGACACCGTTTGTTTAGACTTTTTTTTCCTTTTCTTCGCCCTTCATGTACCACCCGGTGGTTGTTGGCATTGGCGGGGTGTATCGGTCTTTCGGTCCATTTCAGTTGGTACTCGGTGACTTCAGGCGCAGTCATGGCGGGCGTTTTTCTCCAAGACATTGTACACTATCCTGCCGGTTACAGGAACTATCTTCGCTAAATTAGGTTGGTGCGGCGGAGCGTTTTTTTGGGGGGCTTTGCTGTCTGAGCATTAAAACAGCAAATATGAAGCCTCCTGTCATGTTATAAAATTGTAGATTATACTAGCTTTAGTGTAACTATAATCTTAATTTTATTGATGACCTGAGGCAAATATTTCCCTCCCAGTTTCTCCCTTCCCTGGTTTGTTGGTTGGTTTGACTGACTTTTGTATATTCCTGGTCTCCTGGGCTAGGTTTGTTAATCTGGGGGAGTTGGGGCTTATCTGGGATATGGTACCGTCAGTATGTTATGATGGGGATTCATGTTTTCTCAGTATCTGGGATATTATACTGTCAGTATTGACTATGGGGATTCATGTTTTTCTCAGTACATTTCATTCGCTAATCAGTGTTTTCGACTCTGTTTATCTCGTTTCAGTTTAATGGTTCGGCTACAGTTCTTAGATCCGACTGCTCTACAGGATAAAGGTCAAGGCTTCATCCACTGGTTCCACGTTTCCAATGTCGGATGGCATTCATCGTTATCTTATGTTGTTTCTCTTGTTATTGTATTTGTGGTGTATTGTTCATGTACTTTATTTTGTCGCAGCGTGAAAGAGGAATTAGTTGGTTGGGAGAAGCCTTTTATGGATTCCTGAGTTTTTTGTCTCTGGTGTTTTTCTCTCTATGTTAATGTGCTGCTGTGGAGTTCTAGTAAAGAGAGACTTAAGCAAATATTCGCCTCCTGTCATTAATAAAATTAAGATTATAGTTACACTAAAGCTAGTATAATCTACAATTTACAGAGCAGGAGATAAAAAAAAACATTCAAAGTAAGTTACATCTGATTAAAAATCCAAAATGAATGAATTAAAGGGACACTATAGCCACGAAAACAACTTTTTTGTGCATAGATCATGCCTCTGTAATTTCACTGCTCAATTCTCTGCCATTTAGGAGATTAATCACTTTTGTTCCTATTTATGCAGCCCTAGTCACACCTCCCCTGGCAGTGACTGAAACAGCCTACATGAAAACAGAAAGGTAACACTGTCATTTTTTTCAACTTGTCTTTTTTGAACACTCTCAAAGGCAAGGAATTATCATTTTAAACTGACGTGAAAAAAAAAATCATTGTCACAGGGATTCTTTAAAAAACAAACAAAAAAAACTATACATTAAAACATTAAAACTAACAGAAAGAAAGCAAATTTACAATCTAGGTTCTCTTTAAACTCCGCAGCAGTGCTTAATGCTTTAGTCATTGTTTCTCCATTGTACAACAGTATAACATTATGCAACAATAAGCTTCTTTTTTATTGTTATTATTGGTGTTATCTAACACGAGGTTAAGAACAATACACTTGGTTAATAACCACTGTTGTTTTATATTATCAGATACATTTTCCCCATCAGGAAATGTTTGTTGCATGCACTGCTAAGCTATTTTACTGTACGCACACCCTGCTGAGGGCTATATTCCCCTACTTGGGAGATTTAAACATTCAATTTCTCTGTTAGTGAGAGGGTGGATTTTAAGATCTTACATTTAATGTCACATAACAATAAACATAGTGCCACAATCAGCATAAATATTTTAGTCTGCAAATGCTAAAATACTGAGGTTTGTGTTTATAAACCATTAAAATGTACACTTACTTTTTCCCTTTGATTTATAGGAATTTATATTGATGGTACCTATGCTTTTATTTGTTCATAAAGTTATGGGGAAAAAAAATACTATTTCTATATCAAACACATTTTTGGTGTTGCTTATATTGTGTGTTATATGTTAGCAATCTCCACTGACTTTGCACCATATGGTATTAAAGGACCACTGTACTCTTTCAGACCAACAAATTGTATATTTGTTTTTAAAACATTATAATATGGGATGTAAAGTTAATTTTTATGGAACAAATCAGCACAAACACAACACAAGCAAACAATAATCAAGTGTGAATGGGTTTAGGTTTGATAAAATAGAATGCATATTATTAATAGTATAATGCAGGGGTGGCCAAACTTCATGTCTGTAAGATTCTCATGTTAAAACTTAGAAATATTCAAGAGCTGCAATTACATTTATTGATGTATTCAACAGAATCCTCCATGTGTCTCAATCCCCCCAGCACCTCAATCCATGTGTTTTAGTCTCCTCATTCCCCAAGCCCCCATGTGTTTTATTCCCTTAGCCCCCCATGAGTCTCATTTCCCCAGTCCTCCCATGTGTCTCTGTCATCCAGTCCGTCTATGTGTCCCATTAAACCAGCCCCCATGTGTCTCATTCACCCAGCCCTTCATTTGTCTCATTCCCTTAGACCCCCATGCCTCATTCCCCAAGTTCACCATGTGTCTCATTCTCCCAACCCCTCCATGATATCATTCCCTTAGACCCACATGTCTCATTCCCCCAGTTCCCCCATGTTTCTAATTCCCCCAGTCCCTCATGTTTCTCATTCCTCCAGCCCTCCATGTGTCTCATTCCCCAACTCCCCAACATGTCTCATTCCCCCAGCCACCAATGTGTCTATTTCCTACAGTCCTCCCATGTGTCGTAGTCTTCCTTACTCCCCTTCCCCCACCATGTGTCTTACACCCTCTCCCCCATGTGTCAACTTACCTCCCCCATGCAGCCAAGATGCAGACCATGGTAGAGGAGCTTGTTTCCCTCCACCCAGTCTGACAGGAAGCAGTTCAGCGTTCCCAGTGCGTGGACTTCCTGTCAGACCGTGTAGAAGGAAACAAGTTCCTCTACTGCAGTCCCTAGCTTTCCGTGTCTCATCCAGATATTGGAATGTTATTATAATATGAGGAATATGGAGTGTGGGGGTGACTTGTTACACACTAGCCCACCTCTTTTTTGCTTTAGTGACATAACATGAGCATTGTTGTTATTGGGTCACATTTTTATTTTATTTTCATTTTTATTTTGAAGAGTTTTTTGGGTTTTCTCTTGTTCTTGCATGGAATTTAGAGTTTACAATCTGGATTCCCATCTTAAATATTTCTTCTTTTCTAATTAATTATCAAAACCATGGAGACTTAGGGCTTGTGAATAGCTAGTAAAGTTATTAACTTGGTTTAAATTTAATTTTGGGCAGTTTTTGTCTATTTCTCCCCTGTAGAGGAGTATATATTGGATTCATTTAAACCTAGTATATAGACATCATAGTGACAACATGCTGCCTATATGAATAATCTCAAGTACCATTTCACATAGGTATCTTGTTTTTTTTTAGCACAACATACGTAGTAATAATCCTATATTGCGGGCTAAAACACTTAGTAAAGTTCGCTATAGAGATATGGGTTAACCGCCGCGTCTGCAGGAATACGATTATTCAATTTTGGTTGTCTCTATTGTTTAAAAGTATAGATGATTAATACGCTTCTACGTCACCTACACCCCACCAAAGGGTAGGTGTGGATGCATTTTGTCTCTGTGAGTTTGTTTTAAAATGCTTTATCCTAAACTGCTTTATTATATTTTTGATAATATGAATAGAAATTATTTGAAATTGATATATAGAGCAGTCAAATGCTTTTGTTGTATGCCACGCTACATGTAGGCTGCTCTTCTGATAGTTTGCAGTTGGTAAAATATTGTTTATTACAACATTGTTTATTATGATTTTGATTGAATTAATTCATATGTATATTATCAAATATGTATTAGTATGCCACGATCGGAATTAACACTTTCACTGCTTGTGTGTCACTTTATTGCACAATTGTTGATGTTTTCACATTCATTCACATGTTTTGAATCTTTACTCTTTTTCTCTTTCTTATTTTCTGTGGCTGTTTTATATATTAAATATCATTGAGATAAGTCTCTTATATCCAACTCTTAAGCTGGACAGTCCTCCACTTAGAAACTTTCTTTTATACCTCATGGCTTTTTTCACAGTACACAGGATATTTGTCCTGCACATTTGTATTGTTGGTGACCAGAGCAACCACGCTTCTCTCCGCCAGACGTCAGCATGTGATGACGTCACAAAGACGGTCTTAGCACACTTCCGGGTGGTAGCGGTGAGTGGTACTACACTTCATTGATTGGTAAGTGTATTGATATCTTTGTTATATATATTCACTGTTAATGCCTATACAGTAATCTTGAAAAGACCTGCAGGGGTCGAAACATTGATTGTTGTTTGCTGTATGCATATCATTTAAATAAATCAAAAGACCGAAGAGTGCATCCTGGATCTTTTTTTCATTTACATATTGGACGCGCTGTGGATTGCACCCAGGCAGGAATATTGAAATCCTGGTAAGGAGAGTGCCAAGCCATCAACCTATTGTGTGTGTATATATACCAGAATACCAGAGTATTGCAGTATGCAATGATACCTTTTTTATTGGACTAACGTAATATTTCAAAGACAAGCTTTCAAGAGTTTTCCTCCCTTCCTCAGTCAATAAGGGTCTCTGGTTATTAACTTTTTTCTGACTATTCTCAGCCAACCTGAACCTTTTGCTTTCAGAACCACCAAAGACTACAACCATCATTTCAAACCTAAGAGCTACTTTGACCCTCTCCCGAACCAACCATCAATCAATGCATTCTTGAGATCGGTGAAATAAGAATCTATTACTAACCTGAAGAGAAAGACTGACAGCCCCACCAACAAAACGCACCAAGAGAGAAAAATTATTAAAAACCTAGCTAATTACCCCCATATAGACCAGCGGATAAAGGTGGAGGGATCATTTTATTGAACTACAAGGACTACAGAGAAGAACTATCACAACATACAAGAAACTCCCTTCAGACCCTACAATACAAATCATGAAAGATTTAAAACACACTACAGAGAGGTTTAGACTCGAATTACATCATAATGGAATTATATAGAATATGTGTAAAGGATTCATGAGAAATGGGATTATTTAAAAGTTGCACTGCTGAAGGTAACAGAAAATTGCATTAGACTTGTCAGTAAAAGCAAAAAATTCAAGAAACCACTGTGGTACTCTGCAGATGTGGCCAAAAACAAAACGTTAGCATTTAGTAATTATAAAAAAACCCAGAGTGAGGAAGATAGAATTCTCTATAAGATTAGGCAGAAAGAGGCTAAGCAAGTTATAAGAGCTTCCAAATCACACACAGAAGAGAAAATAGCACAGTCAGTAAAAAAAGGGGACAAAACTTTTTTTTTTTTTTTAATTCTTTATTTTTCGTGCATAGATTATACATGTAACAGTTTTCTAGCAATGCCACAACAGCTATCGCCAGGATTTGAGTAGACATGTAAATACAATTGTATGGCAGGAATAACTTTGCACATTTTTATATATGTATGAGAAGAGTGGTTAGTGGTATAGCACTGTTCCAGCGTGAGTGTGAGAGATTATGTTCAGAAAGAGACCTTCAGGTTAGGGATCAAGGGCTAGTGTGCGTAATGACCACCAGGGTAGAATTTTGTTAGGTATAGACATGCGTCTGAGTGTTATCGGCCCTGGCTGATCGATAGAGTAGTGCCTGTCTAAACTTTAGGCAGGTTTTGCTTTGAAATTCACACTGCCCAGTCGCCTTTTATTCTAGGTGTATGTGTCCAGTGTTTCATCCACATTTGATTTAATCTATGCTTCTGGAGCAAAGTTGACTAATGCTGTCAGTTCACATGGACCTTCAAAGTGAATGCCTGCAAGGAAGTCGACACCTAACGCGTCCTAACCGAATTTGGAGAATAGGGACAAAACATTTTTTAGATACATAAATGAGAAAAGGAAAGTAAAACAAGGATTAGTTAGATTAAAAACAAAAGAAGGAAGGTATGTAGAAGAGGATAAAGGTCTAGCTGACTGCCTAAATGAATATTTTTGTTAAGTATTTACAGATGAAAATGAAGGAAAGGGACCTCAGTTAGGAAAAAGGACAAATGAGTGATTTGTTACATGTGAGTTTACAGAGGAAGAGGTTTTATTTCAACTGTCAAAAGTAAAGACAAATAAGTCAATGGGACCTGATGGAATATACCCAAAGTTATTAAAACAGATTTATTTAACCAATCATTGTTAACAGGAGTAGTCCCAGAAGATTGGAAGTTAATAAATGTTGTGCCCATACCCAAGAAAGGTAGTAGGGAGGAGTCCGGCAACTATAGGTCAGTAAGCCTTACTTCAGTAGTGGCGAAATTAATGGAAATCACGTTAAAGGATAGGATTGTTGAACATCTAAAAACACATGGATTTCAAGATCAGAGACATGGGTTTACTTCAGGGAGAACATGCCAAACTAATCTTGTTGATTTTTTTGATTGGGTAACTAAAATAATAGTTGAGGGTGGTGCAGTAGATATTGCATACCTAGATTTCAGTAAGGCTTTTGACACTGTTGCACATAGAAGGCTTATAAATAAACTGCAATCTTTAAGTTTGGATTCCAATATTGTTGAATGGGTAAGACAGTGGCTGAGTGACAGGCAACAGAGGTTTGTAGTCAATGGAGTATATTCGAAGAATTGGCTTGTCACCAGTGGGGTACCTCAGGGATCTGTACTTGGACCCATTCTCTTTAATATTTTTATTAGTGATATTGCAGAAGGACTTGTTACTAAGATATGTAACAGGCTGCTGCCCCTTCCCAAATCTATGGGCTGCTGTCCCCCAAATCTATGGGCTTCTCCTCACCCATGGGCTGCTGCCTCCCAAATTTATGGGCTGCTGTCCCCCCCAAATCTATGGGCTTCTTGCCCCCTGAATCTATAGGCTGCTGCCCCCTCCCCAAATCTATGGGCTGCTGCCCCCCACAAATCTAAAGGCTGCTGCTGCCCTCAAATCTAAAGGCTGCTGCTGCCCTCAAATCTATGGGCTGCTGCCCCCCTCCCCAAATCTATGGGCTGCTGCCCCCAAATCTATGGGCTGCTGCCCCCTCCCCAAATCTATGGGCTGCTGCCCCCCTCCCCAAATCTATGGACTGCTGCCCCCTAAATCTATGGGCTGCTGCCCCAAATCACTCCAAGGCTGGCTGCCCCCTCCCCAAACCCTCCCCCATCCCTCCTCACTCCCCTGATCTGTAGGCTGTCTCTGGCTGCATGTGCTGTTCCCCTGCGGTTTCAATCAGCAGAGAGAAGCAGGGATAAGATGCAGCTTCCTATCCCTGTCTCTCTCCATACACAGCGCCACCTACTGGTCGGTGCCGGTATTGCAGTTCATTCTAAATCTCACACGAAATATCAGAACAAGCTGAAAAATCCAGGGGGGGGCAAGTGCCCCCCCTTGCGCCCCCCTGCGGACGCCCATGGCAACAACCTCACAATAAGAGGTATTGCCGAAACGGTAGACGACCATAAGATGCCGCACTTCTTAAGGTGCCTTTTCGCTTCCCTGATGCCGCAACGCTCCACTAAAGACATACAACTGGATGGCTGCTTTCTACAAGCAAAGTCTAAGAGGGCACTGGCTGGAGCCACCCGCAATGTGCTGGTGAACTTCGTACTAAACCGGGATAGAGTAGCGGTCCAAGAGGCATTGAAGAATAAAACACTTTATGGCTTTGAAGACATGCAACTCTAATTCCTACACAACTTATGTAGATCTACACTAATCTGGAGAAGGCCCCTTCACCAGATTAGTGTAGATCTACAGAAGTCGTGTAACTCAGCGGACACCACTTATTAATGGGGGTCCCTCACATACTCTCCAAGCCACCAGAGGTCGCACCTATTCACTCACCTCTGCGGAAGACTCTCTGAGGCGTTCCTTCAGAAACTGAGCCTCCCCTCATCCATGGGTCCTGGAAGCGGTCCACGTAGC